TCAGCTGAAGAGCTTGGCATCCCAAGTCTCCCAGCCGATGACACTGCTGGCGGAAACAGGAAGTCTCATGCACTTGCTTCTAAACAATGAATACGGTGTTACGTGAGACTTTGGAGGATGCTGCAAAAATAAATTTCATCAAAACCTGGCCACTGAATGGACGTTTATTCTGACAATTATGCAAGGATTTGGATTCTGAGCACAGCACTCTTCTCTTTCATACAGAAGTATGTTGGTTGTCAAGATGTGAAACATTATCGAGATTATTCGAACCACGAGATGAAATGCACCTGTTCCTGACAAATGTTTCATCACCCCTAGCAGAAAAATTTGAAAATATCTTCTGGGTATCCTGCCTTGCCTATTTGGCTGACATATTTAAAAAGCTAAATGAATTTAATCAGCCGCTGCAGGGCCACGGTCATAATGTGTTTGTTATGGAAGACAAAGTTTGTGCCTTGCACAAAAAAATCTCCCTGTGGATAGGACAAGTAAAAAAAAGAAATACTGCATCATTTCCCAATTTGTCAGACTTTATTGAACTAAATTCTATTGTTGACACTGAGGGCATTGAAACTGCCATCAAAAATCATTTGGAAAAATTGCACACAGAGTTTGTGCTGTATTTTCCATTCATGTCAAGAAGATGTGATACTAGAATTTGCTGGGTTGCATCACCCTTCATCACTGACAATGTTGTGAACTCTGAACTTTCCTCTCCAAGCAAGAGGCACTTCTGGAATTGACATCAAACCGCACTCTGAAGGAACTTTTTAATGAAAAAACACTGACCGAGTTCTGGAGGCAAGCTGCAAAACTATACCTGGAAGCGGGGGGAAAGGCTATCGCAGCCTTACTGCCATTTGGTTCCACATATTTGTGTGAGAAGACATTTTCTTCTTCAACATGTATAAAAACTAAGGAAAGGAATTGCCTTCAGCTGGAATCTGACTTAATTCTGTCAGTAAGCACTCTCCAGCCATGACTGCAGATGGCAGAGAAGCAGGCACAAATTTCCCATTAAAAGTGTGGTAAATGGGTACACTTTTTTCCTGTTTTTTTTTGTCATTAAATTTTTGACACCTTGCTAAGCCACTGGTGGTACTCAAATATTGTCATGTCCTAAAAGTGGTACAGTCTGTGAAAAGGTTGAAAAGCCCTGCTTTACAGCACTGTGATCAGTTTACAATGTCAGCATATTGCTCACAATAATCGGAGTCCTCATTTTACCAACCTCAGAAGGATGAGGGGCTGAGTCAACCTCAAGTGCCATCAAGATCAAACTCAGACTGTGGGCAAAATTAGCCTGCAAAACTATATTCCAACCACTACACCACCAGGCCTCCTAAATATAATGTATTATTAGACAAGTGTTATAAGTCAGGGGTGTCAAACTCAATTTCACTGAGGGCGCATCAGCATTGAGATTGCCCTCAGGGGCTGGATGGGTGCGGCCTACTGGGTGGGTGTGGATGGAGTGGGTGCGGCCTACTGGGTGGGCATGGCCAGCTCTACATAATTCGCATCAAGGGTGCCTGTTGGGGCCTGGGCAGGAGTGGGATAGATCTGAGGGTCTCTGGAAGAAAGGGGTGGGACCAGGGCAGAGCCCATCAAGCCGGATATGTGAAGTAGGCGAGGGCCATTTGCTGGTCTACTTCCAGGCGATGGTGCTTATCTTCATTCCTCATAAAGGGTGACACCTCCCCAGCATGCACCCAGGGGGTGGGACCGATGCAGCAGGGACTGGTTCCTCGCTGTTTCCAGACGGCCTTGTGGAGCTAAGACTGAAAGTATTTCAGCATAGATGGCCACCACAAAATTGTACATTGGCTCCCGGCCGGCCTGGGCTAGGGCCAAGGCAGCGGAGGCTGTTCCCTCACTGTTTCCAGGATGGCTTCGCAGGCCACATGAAATCACTTCGTGGGCCAAATCGGCCCCCGAGCCTTGTGTTTGACATGTCTGTTATAAGGAATTATAAAGTGGTTAATTCCCTATTGGTTTACAATAGCCTGAATTTTAGCAACTGCACAAATGCTATATGGCATACCAGAAAGCTAACTCTAAGGTTCTTATAACAAGCAATATAGAAGTTTCCAGAGTCAAAAGGATATGAATTAATTGGGTTATAACCTGAAGAGATCACTTCCAGAATACATTTTGAAGTGCCATGATGACACTCTTATCATTCTAATGATATTATGTCAGAGACACAGGGAATGCCCATTATAGGTGAGAAGCTTACTCCTGCAAAGTTTTCAAAAATTCAAAAGCCATTAAGATACCTATGAAGAAATGTCCTTGCACTATTGTCACAACATAATTAAGGAAATTAATAAAGTAAATAAACAAAAAGCAAGGTAAAATTTAGCTTATCTATGTGACAAAGCCAAGTTTATATCTAGTAACTGCCACAATATTTTTAATATTATCTGATTTAGACTTTTTCTAGATATATTGTTCCTTTGCCTCCTTTTTCAAGGTAAGGACATTTATCCTCTCCCCATCATCTGACACTACACTAACTGACAACTTATTTTTATATTAGTATGAAAAATATCCTAGTGTCAGGTTAAATTTTTGGTAACTTAATTAAACTAATCTTGCTGGGAAGAAATGAGATCTAAAAATGTTTTGAAAGCTGCACTAAACTTTAAAAGGCTTCAGAGAAACATGTTTCCCTTAAAATTTTTCAGTACAATCAGAACAAAACCGTTTCTTCAAAACTAAGTTTCTTTGTTGCATGTAGCTTATTTGTGACAAAAAGCTAAATAGGAAAACCAATTTTATAGCATATTTTAATGTATTAGGGACATCAACTCTTCCTTTGTTTTCTTTTACAAATTCAGTATTGTATAAGTTGTTTTGTCAAATATGTCTTGTAATAAAATTTACTATAAATTGACTTGATACTAAAAAAAACTATTAAAAGAATAGGCATGTCTTTGGTAAGAAATTCATTATTACTACTGTTATACTGCTAAATCAAAATAACCTAGTTTGAACAATGTCTAATATATTTTTTCCACCAGAATGAATCATATAGCTTTTGGCAGGAATACTGAAATCCGAATGCATTCCAATACTTAATTACAAACTATCCAGCTGTCCTGTAGCCTCTTCTTGTGTTTTGGGTTCTAGAATCACTCTTTCTGTGATGAATCAATCATTAGTTCAAGGGGGGAGCTGGAATTCTTTCCTTTGCATGAGCTTGCCTAACCCACACTAAAACTCTCAGAACTCTTAACCAATTAATCATGTTGGCTGAGCTTTAGAAAACTAACACCCAAACCATCTGGACAATAACAAGTTAACTATCCCTAGTATAAAGCACATAAGTGAATTATTACCTGAATTTCAGAAAGCTCACCTGCACAACAGCTGTAACATACTGATCTCAAATAAAGCCTGTTATAGCATTAGCTTAAATCACTATAAATAACAGCTTTAACATAATGTAGGATACTAAATATAGAATAGATAGTTCCAGAGGTAGTTGTTTGGCTTGATCAGATATGACTTTATCCAAGGTCACTTGACAAAATTTACAAACTGTATTTAGTTATCAAGGTTATTAACATTGAAATTGTTTTTAAAAAAATACTTACAGAACCATAAAAATAGCATTGTAATTAATTTCCAATAGAACAAATGCAAATCATAAAATTCATGATGATTTCTTTTAAAAATAACACTCATTCTTATGCTAATATTGAATTCTCTCATGCAAAAGCTGTTACCTAAATAATTTTTGTTTCAGTTTCATTATTGCTATATGTATTTGAGTTTATGTATATTTTTGGCAAAAATATGAGAAATAAGGTACACTAGTTACTTCAAAATAATTGTTTTAAATTATCAGTACTATCTAATTATATCTGATTAAAAAATAAAGTAAAATGCAAGCTAATTGCCTCTTCCCCATTTTATGTGCTCTGAAATTATCCTTCAAATGCTGGTACAAGTCATTTTTTTCAAGATTCTTTCAGCAGCCCCATTTTTAATATAAGTAAATGCTCATTCACTTCAAAAAATTTCAGCTGAAATCTTAAACTCTTCGTGTGAATTATTTTAAATACCATAATCCTAGTTTAAAATGTTTGATTAAAATTGGTAGTGAGCTGACTCCTTCAACTATGATATAATCTTGTGTAAATAGTTATCTAACCAAGTTGATTCATTTTTTCCACAAACATGCACAAAAAGGAAAGGTTAAAAAGACAATGAAAAGCATGAAGCTAGTATGTCTGTAAGTATATTACTACTCTTAATTTTAATTGGCTGTTGGATACAGAAAGTGCATACATATGCATATGTCTCCCTGTATTTTATTTAAACATTTTACTACAATTAGGTTAACGAAATAATATTAAAATCCGGCCTTATTGTGTGCAACTCAACAGTGTCAGTATTGCATTGCACTGAAATATATATAGCAATGTACTGCCACTGGGGGCACCAGTATTTTTGTGTAGACTGAAATAGCCTACCAATGGGAGAGAAGAATCAGACAAGCAAGCTTTTCATAATCCTTTTAATTCCTCTGGATAAGAAAATTGAAAAGCTCAGTCAGGTTTCTTGTTCAAGAGTATTTGCCCTCTAGATAACATTCTCATCTGGAAACTGATTACCAGCCAAGAACTTTTAACTCTATCCTTTATTTCTAGGCATATCGGTCTGAAATGGAGAACTACTTAAGAGAACTCTTCAGCTGTGGGGCTAATGTTGCTGCCAGCTACTGTCATGAAAGTTCATTTCTCCTTTCTCAAGTAGATTACACATTATGAGAAGGGCATAATTATGAGAAGGGCAAATATATTTGGTTGAAATATAAAGATCTTATTAATATTATGCAATGAGCTCACTACAGAACCAAAAATTCCAAATAGTATTGTAAATTATAAAATACTAATTTTTATTTAGTTTCACAAATAGAGTACTGGGATTCCTAATTTATTTAATTTACTTGTAATTATATTTGAAAAAAATACGTTAATATTTACTTTCTAGTTCTTCTTTCTCAAAGTTTGTGTTGATAGTAGAGCTGATTTTCCCTGTATCCACAACAGCTTCTTCATCATGACCCTAGAACAAAATAAAAAATTAAATTTTTCATTCTATATAAACCATTTCTCCTTGGTGCCATTATCATTTCTGATGCATTTTTCAAATAAATAATATTAAGCTATTAGGTTTTATGATTATATATATTTAACTTATAAATGCACTTATTGATACTTTTGACAGTACACATATTTCTAATAAATCAGTCAATTAGGTCTTTTTGCTCCCAAACTGTTCCAAACATAGTACTTACTTAAATTTATATCAAGGTAATGTTAAAAAATAGCAAATAATTATGTCTACAGTGCCATAGATTCTTGAAATGTTACCTAAGTCAAATGTTTGATAATTTATGTTTACAATACTTAAATATCTGTACTTTATCAAAGCCAAATATTTTTAATGTCAGGGCTCTGAAACCATTTCTTTTTTCTCACACTAAAAGTCTCTCACAAAATATGTGCTGATAGTTCATAATATTTAAAATATAGATTTCTAAAATATTGACTTTTAGTAATTCATGTATTCCCTAATTATAAGAACCTCTACTATTAGAAGATGAAATTAAATCAGCATTTTGGTCATTACCAAGTTGGAAGGCTAGAGGGATTGATAGAATACCCACAAAAATATGGCAAGTAACAGAAGTATCAATAAAGATCCTAACTAAGCTACACCAGCAAATCTGGAGAACAACAGATTGGTTAACAAATTAGAAGAGGTCAATGTACAAATGAAAAATGAGATCTAATAGTGGGTGCAAACTATCATACAATACTCTTAATTTCACAAACTAGCTTACCTCTGCAAGGAAAACTAATGCTTACCTCTGCAAGGTAAACAAATTGGAGCCCTATATGGAAAAAGAGATGCCAGATATTTGGCTTTACAAAATTGTTTCAATTCACTGATATTATAGCTGCAAAACACCTGACCTGTGGTTAGAAAAGCTTTAGATGAAGCGAGGGAAGCTTATAAAGTTCAGGCAGATAAGAAATTAATGGAACCTAAACTATTCAAAATAAGGGGGAAATTATATCTCTCAACCAAATTTCTAAAATTCCTGCAGCTATCAAAAAAGCTAAGAAAAAAATTCGTAGAACTCTTCCCCATAAAACACATAATTAATACAATAACAGTAGAGTTGGAACTCCCAAAACCATTGAGACAGGTCCACCCTGTATTTCACTGTAGCCTGCTTAAACGGGAACATCCCCTCTAAGGCCAGCAGAAGCTCCACACACCCTTCCACAATCCATTATGGTGGAAGGGGAGCAACATTTTAAAATTAAAGAGATATTAGACTCCAGGAAACATCATGGGTTGACTCAATACTTGGTGGCATGGACAGACCTTCCACCATCACAAAATGAGTGGGTGCATAAAAAGCATATCAGGGCTCCCCATTTGCTAAAAATGTTCCATGCCTGTTACCCGGATAAGCCTGACTAACATTGTTGTTTCAACTCTCTCCTTCTTTATTGTTTTGTCTATCTCCAGGTGCACCTCTCATTTTTCTAGTGGGGGCAGCATGTCAGAATCCTCAATTATTAATCATGCATATTCTCTGGGTTTAGGTTATTTGGGTTCTGCCATCCTCCTATGGAGGGAGGGGAGTAGCTGGGGGCTTATAGTGCACATAGACCATTTCCTCTTATCGGTTGCTTTCCCACAGCTCGATGTTACCTGTGGACTGACTGTTTGAACCAACCGGATAGACAGTTGGGGTAGAGTTATTGTTTTGCTGGTTTAACCTATTGATTTGGGCGGGAAGTCCTAGCTTTCCTGATTTCTGTACCTGCCAATAAAAGTTCCTTTTGAAATGGTGCCAGTTTCAAGAATTCTGCTTTCTTGATAGAGAAAGAGAGGTAAGTCCTTACACTGTCAACCAATGTGATTTCAAAATAGATGTTATTTTAGCTTGATAGGTTGTCTCATCATAATTCTAGTCACTACATTTTGTACCAGCTATAGTTTCCAGGTCATTTTGAAAAGCAACTCCTGTATAGAGCATGTGACAGTAATCCAATCAAGTGATCAGGACATAGATTACCATATCCATGATATCTGGGTCTAAATAGAGATACAGTTAATGCACTATAACTTTGTAACAGCTGAATAAAGACTTCTCTGGCTACAGTTTCCACCTATTGTTTAAGAAGTAGTCCAGGACAACCCACATCACAAACTAACTAATTGTGCTCCATTAAAACTATAAGAACCAATGCTTCCTTTCATTATGACAGCCTAAAATTATGCAAACAAAGCTGCCCAAATTATATGAATTTACTAATCTTTTTTTTAATCAAATGTTAAAAGTTAGGTGAAACTTCTAGATTGCATTTTTTTAAAATCTACTTCAAAAATTGCTGTAGAAGTGTTTGTATGTTATTGATCCATTTATTTGATATTATTCCTAGCATCAGGTATCTAAACATATGTAGTATCATTATTAGCTAGAACTGTGGTGCTGGAGAAGACTCCTGCGAGTCCCCTGGACTGCAAGATGATCAAACTGGTCAGTCCTAGAGGAGATCAACCCTGACTGGTCTTTAGAAGGCCAGATCCTGAAGTTGAAACTCAAGTACTTTGTCTACCTAGTGAGAAGGAAGGACTCACTGGAGAACAGCTTAATGCTGGGAAAGATTGAGGGCAATAGAAGAAAGGGACAACAGAGAATGAGGTGGCTGGATGGAGTCACTGAAGCTGTAGGCGTGAGCTTAAATGGACTCCAGAAGATGGTAGAGGACAGGAAGGCCTGGAGGAACGTTGTCCATGGGGTTGCGATGGGTCGGACACGACTTCGCAATTAACAACAACAACATCTTATTTCTCATCCTTAAACTTGGGCAGCATTCATAGCATTCCCCCATGTTTTTTATGATATTACTGCAACAGCAAACCACACCCAATATTATCAATGTGAGCTTCCCTTAACTCAGTGAGATTTGTCTTTACTTTTCCCACCTCACCAGGGGAATTTGAGTTTTATATCATGGGGAAGGTGTTCCAATTTTTTAGCAGATTTAAAAGGCATGCAGAACATTAAACTGTAAATATAATGACATTAATGAATATAAAACCATCACTCTCTGGCAAAAAGATAACTAAAAGAATATGTAACTCCAATAATCTGCCTTAAAATGTAATGTTTTTCAAAACTATTCTAGTTTTTCATTGGTGATAAATTCTTGCTTCCCCCTTTTCTTTTTCTATTATCTACTATTTTATTGATTTTTGAAATTCAATAGTTATATAAAAATAGTAATTAAGTGATTCTTTGCTCAATTCTTATTAATATTCCAAAATATATTGCTTCAGGAGATCCATTTTATCAAATATGACTAATAATCACTGACAGATATTATATATATTAAAAGTTATATATTAACTTTTAAAAGCATTTAAATTATTGGTCATATTTGTAAATTCCATTATGCATCATGGGGGAGGGGAACTCAATGCTTCTAATCCTAGTAAAGACCAGGTTAAGGATAGATGTCATAGAAAAAAGCTATCTATATAGTTACTAAGAACTGACAACAATTTGATAGCAGATAAATAATAAAACTATTGTGGCATAATGACAGATGTTTCAGTCTACATTATGGTAATTCTGTTCAGATCAGTATTCAGCCTTGAAATTCACAACATGATCTTAGTCAATCATGACTATTTAACTTAACTTTACACAATTGCTTTAAGGATAATTGTTTAGATTAATCTCAGCTTTTTGAAGGTCTGTAAATATACTATTACTCACAAACTACAATTATATATTACTTGAGTTGGATTAAAAAAGAAAATATGAATTAAAAAAGAACACCAATATAGTCTTAAAACTGTATATTAGATTTTCATCGTTCAATGAACTACCTTTATTAAATGGAACTTCACTTTGAATATATATTAGCCAACATTATTATAGACCAGCTTCCAATCTTATAAAGGATAATTATCATAAGGTAATTTTAATTTAATTATCATAATTATCATAATTTTAATTTTAATTCAAATATTTTAAAAAGTAATAGTGAGAAAAGTTAGCCTATTTTTCTAACTAAGTTATTTTTCAACAGCATACAAGTACATGCTATAAGGGAGGCTTAACTAACACAGACACATAATTTCCTCCCATATATTTCTTTTTAATATAAATATTTGAAATAATACAACTGAGATTTTCCCATCTCATCAACAATAACAGAAAATTTGAAATAAGGGTAGAATATTGGTTTTCATCTGAATACAACATGAACCTACTAGCAAAATTATTTAATTAGTTTTTCTAAAATGTAGGCCTTGACTATCACCTTTGCAAATCTAGATTTATAGAACCTTCTCAGATCATCTATCTACCCATCAAATGTAATCTGTAATCATAAGAATGGTTGCATCTGCAATATTTAGCTGCAACATTTAACTGTCCAATAATAATTTTCATCTAAATCTGCACTGACATTGATGTTTTATAAAACAAGTATTTAACAAAAACAGATCTGGTATCTATTGCTTAACACTTATAAAACATTTCTAGGATTTGTTAATAGTTTGTTGTGAATATCTTGTCTAGCAAGCTAGAAACAAAGTTAACACAGCTTGAATTTTTTTCACACATCAAAAAATTGAACTAAATATACTGTGCCTTACACATTTTCCAGTGTTCACCTGAATTATGTCTCTGTTCAGTCACTTCAAAACTTAAAAGTTGTAAAACATATAACATGTATTCTCTAGAAATAATAACCCATGAAGCAACTCTAACCAATTTCATCATTCATAAAGAAAAAGAATAAAGCTGATTTGTAGACAAACTTCTCCATTTTAGAAATTTCCCAGACATTGCTGCTGCTGCTTCTTCTTCTTCCTCTTCTTCCTCTTCTTCCTCTTCTTCTTCTTCTTCTTCTTCTGCCATATCCATTATCTGACGTTGGCGATCATGTTGGCGATCCTGTTTTTATCAAGTGCTGCTGAGTTTTGTCCAAACCAGTCCCTTAGATTTTGAAGCCATGATGTTCTTC